AAACAGTTAAACGCAACTCAGAATATGACTCAAAGCTGCAATAATTAAATATGTTAAATAATACAAATATCCTTTATGTATTTAATTCCATTTTATTAACCAATTTGCTGCGGACCTTCAGTGATCCAATTCAACCATACTAATGAGAAAAAATTACACAAGATAAACTAACATTTCTTATTCTTCTTTTTATTGCTGAAGAGTGTTGAACTTTCTTCTTCTGTGTATACTGTACAGACGTGAATTTACATTTCCTTCAGCCGGAGTCTTTTGGTGTGAAAGGGCTTTTACATTTGCCAAAAATTGAACTTTTTATATTAAAAGCAAACGAGCAAGCCCAGCCCAGATTTAAAAAGTAATGCAAACGTAACATAACGCATTACTTTCAATAAAAAGTAACTAAGTAACGTGATTAGTTACTTTTTTTTAGGAAGTAACGCAATATTGTAATGCATTACTTTTAAAAGTAACTTTCCCCAACACTGGTGATAACACTCGTTGCCTTCTCTAGTGCAGCTCAACCAGGTCTCGTCCCATTCCTCGATATTTGTGATATCACAAGTCCCGGAAAATATGCGTTGTTAGTCCTAACGAGTCGTTCGTTGTAGTTTTTGAAAAGTGATTTCTGTTAAATAAAATATCTCCTTTTGAAGTGGGCTTTGAGCTTTGTAACTTTGCAGATCTTTTTTATGCTCAAACAGCAACATTACAGACTAACTAAAGTTGAAAAAGTGAAAAAGCATAATAGGACCCCTTTAACTAAAGATTGATGGTTTTATGAAGCTTCTAAACTTAACATAGCTTTGGTTTGGTCGACTAATATAAATTTATATATATAAAAAAATGTGTAACAATTTAAATCTTTTTTTTGCATCTCGCAAGCTTGCAACTCACAATTCTGACTTTTTTTTTCTTGCAATTGCTACTTTTTTTCTTGCAATTCTGAGTTATTTTCTCACATTTGTGAAATATAGGCTAAACTTGCAATTGTGAGTCCAATTCTGAGAAAAAAAAAAAACTTTCTTACAGTTGCAAGTTTATATCTCACAATTCGGACTTTATCACTTGCCATTGTAAGTTTATATCACAAAATTCTGAGGAAAAAAAGTGAGAATTCAAAGTTCATCACAATTCTGAGAAAAAAGTCAGAATTGCGAGATGTAAACTCACAATTGTGAGGAAAAAGTCAGAATTGCGAGATAAAAAGTCATAGTTACCTTTTTAAAATTTTTATTCCATAGCAGAAACAAGCGTCCATATCAGCCGATATACACTGAAAAAAAAAATTGTGTAGGATTTACTTTAAAAATTCAGAAATTGCTAGTAAATTTCACAAATAATTACAAAGAAACAGCAGACAACACATTGACATTTTGAAAGTAGAAAGACTAATATAGTATTTTTTTGTAAAACGCACTCTAGTAGTAGTAGTTTTGTTTTATTAACATCTTTGAAAAAAAATTTTTACAGTGTATATGCAGAATTGTGAGATAAAAAGTCATAGTTACCTTTTTAAAATTTTTATTCCATAGCAGAAACAAGCGTCCATATCAGCCGATATACACTGAAAAAAAAAATTGTGTAGGATTTACTTTAAAAATTCAGAAATTGCTAGTAAATTTCACAAATAATTACAAAGAAACAGGATTTTGTGTGTATTCATGTTTTCTAAGGAAATATATCTTAGTCAAAGTTGAGACTTCAGTGACTTAAATATGTAAACTGAATTTATTTTTGTCCATTTTGGTTAAGATGGTTGTGTTTACTAGTTTTCCGACATTTCATTGCTTTGTATTTACACACATGCTGTAATAGCTTTGCAAGAGCTTTTTTGTTGTTTGCTTATGCACGTTAATTGTTTTCCAGGAGACGTGAAATGTTTGAGTTTATGTGGGGTGAAATGATTTTTTATATGAGGACTGGCTCCATTAAAAACCAAGTAAGTGTGTTTGTTATTTTGGTTTGAGAAGATTTCATGCTTCATTAGCCGCGGGACCTTTATCTCTGTCTGCGTGTGAGTTTAATTCAATGCTGCTTTCCTCCACAGTGTTTATGACCCCGTCTGGGGCTTTATTTGCTCATCAAACCTGCCCCGGCTACTTGTTAATCAAATCTGTAAGTAAACCTTAAGGACAAAGGCCAAGGTTGTTAAATGCTGGATATCATGGTAGCTCTGTTTGCTTTTCTTACGTTAACTGAAAAGTTGATTCTATCCATAAGGAATTGATTTTTTAAAACATTAAAAATCTTAATGTTAATCTTAATGGTGGTGTGTAAATCTCAAAACCTCATTATGTTAAGTTGCTTTACCCTTTTTTCATATGTGGAGCGAGTAGATTTAGGTTTTGATAGAAGATTGTGAACATGCACTGTGGTCAGCTGTGCTCAATAAGGCCAGGAACATGCATTAAGAAAGTAAATGGGGTCAATTTTGATTCCATGTCGACTTGAACCTTCTGGAAAGCTGAATGTTGTTCAGCGGAAGATCAGACATGTGGATAGTTCTTGCTCTCGCTCTGCTATCATTCTCTTTGTCCACTGACTCTGGCTGTGGGCAGAGATTCTGGTTTGAGTTCACATACCGTCTCTGATAAGTGTGGCTGTATAATTGGGACAAGATTACAGTTCTCTCTGTGTGAGAGTTGATAACACACTGCTTCAGACTCATGCATTTGTATTCTGGCTCTTCCAGTGCTGAGGGTTGCTCCCATGTCTGTAGCTTCCGGTTGTTTTATGTTCACATGAAATCTTATGGTCTCGAAATTGTCATCTTATGAGGGACCATACAAGATTTTTTTGTTGTTGTTTGCAAATGTCCATTTTAGTAAACCAAAATGGTCATAATTCAGTCTTTTTTTAGCTTCTATGTAATCACCCTCTTCTGTACATAAAGTATGTAAAATGACATGCAGTTTGGTTGCACTTACTTGTCGAATATAAAATGCCTGAAAATAACCCTAGAAATGAATGCAATTACTTTAGCTTTTAAAAATATGCTTATGTGAAAATTTCAGGCTTGATAAGTATAGGGATTAAGTATAAAACAGTAAGCAGAACAAGCATTTGTATTTGTTTGATTAACATGCAGCATCATTTCTTTCTTATAGGTGATATGCAATGGTGTGAAAAAGTTTTTGCCCCCTTCCTGTTTTTTTAATTGTTTGCATATTTGTCACACTTAAAAGATTCAGATTTAGAAATGGCTTCATAACCCTTTCCAGACTGATACATGTCAACTATTTTGTTTCTCATCTGTTCTTGAATTTCTTTAGATCGCGGCATGATGTGTTGCTCTTTAAGCATGCTTCACTTTGTCAGACAGGTTCTATTTAAGTGATTTCTTGATTCAACAGGTCTGGCAGTAATCAGGCCTGGGTGTGGCTAGTCAAATTTAACTCAGCTTCCTAAAATAATGTGGTTAATTGCAGTTCTTTCATGATTACTTTTTCACATAGGGCCAGGTAGGTTTGGACAGCTTTTTTTCTTTAATAAATGAAATCATCATTTAAAAACTGCATTTTGTATTTACTTGCATTATCTTTGTGTAATATTAAAATGAAAAAACAGGCAAAAACCTTTTCACGGCACTGTAGTTTATGACTGATGACTTTGTAGGTTTCTTTTTACTTTTTACTTATTTTAACATTTATAAAAGCAGTGTTATTTTAGTATTATTTATATAATATAAAATTATAGTATTTATTCACATTTATTATTTATTTATTTAATAACGCTTATTTATTCATTTATTCATACATATTTTAGGTAGTTTAGGTTTTGAAAACTGTGAACTCAGACCAGAATCTCTGCCTCTACAGATGAAGCAGCACCTTGAAAAGCAGCAAACAGAGATCTACTTCCTTTTATTTATTTATTTATATTTTATTAATTAATTTATTTATATTTTATTTATTTATATTTATTTATTTATATTTATTTATTTATGTATTTATTTTATTTATTTATATTTATTTTTATTTATTTATTTTGAAATTTCTGCCTTTTTAAAATCATGATTTGAAAAAATGTAAAATCAACTGGCTACAATCTAATACAAAATATAATTTTAAAATGTATGTGTAAGTTTGCAATAATTATTCCCTCTGACAGCTAAATTGGTATATTCACTGCTTGTGGCAGCAAGCTTTCCAACACTGCTTGACTTAATTCTTAAGAGTACAAAATATCCCCTGAGTATTTCAGCACAGCGCAGGCTTGATTTAGCATGCTAATTAACCGCTGATGAAATGTTGCTCATACAACAGTGATTAGATGTACGCTCTGACCTGATGAGTCACTGCAGTGACAGTTTTTATGAACTAATAAATTCACCTGCTTATGACTTACCGTAGCATCACAAGACATACAGTATGTGATTATTTGACACATTTTTTTTGTAGAATTACAGAACACAAATATCCCTGACAGTCCTCAGAAAGTGACTTTGTGTTAGTTAAGGATGTAGTCATGCTAAAACAGCAACTCGTCAACTTTTTGCGACAAGCACAACATTTATCAAGAGCCTTAGACACTAAAAACACCCACATGTGACCTGTTCTCTAAAAAGAAAGAATGAAACGCATCAAACAAACATGTTTGACTGAGAATATTGTCTTTTAGGAACCATTTTGGCTCACTCTGCAATGAAACCGAAGATCCTTCTTTGATTTAGCTTTGGCGCAAAACCTGTTTTTGTTGTAATTTTCAGGAAAAGTTAGTTTATTCTCACCCCTCTAGACAGCGTCTGTACTCTCGCCTGCTCAGCTTCAGATGCTCTTGACTCACTTCACCATGAAGGCCTGAGATTTATCACTGCTCGTAAACATCTTCACACACATTCATCACTGAATTCAATATTAGCAACCCCTACAAGAACATCTCCACCTGCACAACAAAAACACGGGTTCATTCATAAACTATGAGTCTTCTAACATTCATACAGTTTTTCTGTTGCAAACCTGCTAAAGCTGCATTAGTTTTCATTGAGTTCGATTATTTCTGATTTGTCTTTATGTTAGCTTTCTTAAATGGCTACAACAAGGGCATTCTTGAGTTTATTATAGAGAAACCTTCTTTGTATGTTGTTATGATTGATTGTTTGCTGTAGTGTTGGCAAAGTAATAAGTAAAAAGTGTTAGATTAGAAGTGTTTTAAAATAAAGTGAAAAATTAATGCAATTAATCAAGAATATATTCTGCGGTATAAATGTTTTTATAACCGCAAATCTAAAGTCAGCATAGCTCCTGTCTGCCACAATAATATATTTAAATTATCTATATTAAAGGCTTTTCTAAACAAATGTTGATATGTTAGTAATTAGGATTTAATCTGAATAATTAATATGCATATCATATAATTTCATTAACAGCCCTGGTGTGCGCTGCATGTCTGGACTGCATCTTCTGAACGTTGATGCTTATTTTTGCCGCAATATTTGAGTACGTCTTTAATATCGAAGGGATAAATTCAGTGAAAATAGTTTGTGTTGCTCAGTTTTGTAGGAAATCGTAAATATTTATTTATTTATTTATATGTATTTATTTACTGTTTCATTTTATTTTTACTTATTACTTTATTTATTTTTATTTTTTTATTACGTTAATGCTTGGTTTTGAGACTATATGTCTTAAATACTGAAGGGATACATTTAGTGAGAATAGTTTATATGTGTATTTTTTTTATATATTTTTTATTTTTTATTTTTTCAGTCCATATGTCTATTAAGGAGATAAATTCAGTGAAAAACAGTGTTTGAAAAACATATCTATCTATCTATCTATCTATCTATCTATCTATCTATCTATCTATCTATCTATCTATCTATCTATCTATCTATCTATCTGTCTATCTATCTGTCTATCTATCTGTCTGTCTATCTGTCTGTCTGTCTATATATAATCTCTATAAGTTCATAAAATAATAAAAAAATTAATTGAAAAATTCAGAAAATAATACAATTAATTCTCAGTCTCAAGAACATGGGCCATTGATATCAACAAAACAAAACAAAACAAAACAAAATGACAGCAACCCATAGCATACATACGCCTTAAATATCAAAGAGATAAATTCAGTCAGAATAGTTTATACGTGTTTGTTCAGTTTTGTGAGAAATAATGTAGAATTTTATATTTTATTTTATATTTTTTATTTCAATTTATGACTTTTTTGGCATGAGCACATCTTAAATCTCAAGGGAAAAAAATTGAGTGAGAATTAACATGAATAAAGGTGCTGTCAGGAGTCTGTGGTTCATGCTGAGTTGAGTTCTGTACGGTCCGTTGTGAGGCCTTCAGACAGATCACATAGAAATCTCTCTCAGGCATCTCCATTACGCGCTCATGAGAGTGAGGTAACAATGATGAAATGCTCGTAACTTTCCTACTACGTTACCTTTCGCTCCGGATCTGATGGGAGAATGCCATCTGCTCCTTTATCCCATTTGCTGTCTAATCACTCTTGTCTGAAAAATAAAAAAAGGTCGGCTTCTGTTACAACTGAGATAAAAAATATGCAGCATTGATGGGATTTAAATGTGGAGGGTTGTGTAATGAACAGGACAAAAGAGATCCCAGACCTTGTGTGCACATTCTCCTGCTGTCACAAGATGATGAGCTTTTAAATTGAGAGCAGAGCCTCCCAGAATCCCCAGTGTGGTATCATTTATTGATAAAACATGTCTATTCAGTGCACTTTACCTGCTCCTCACTGCAGTTCTCTATGCCACATAGAGATTACGCAGCGGTTAATATTGCAAATGGAATGAATGGTGTCCGAAACCTGTGGGCTTTTGTTTTGCCTGACTGCTCTTTGCTCCTTGGCAATATATGGAGCCATTCATCTCTATTCAAACTGGGCTGCATGCTTCGACGGACCCCTGTCTCTGCCTCAGTGTGCTTAGAAGATATTCCTGTTCATTAGTGCTGTAGTCTCTGATTACTCTTGGCCTTTTGTCACCAGCTCTTTTCTTGCTAATAATAAGCTACTATAAAAAGCTGAACAATTCAGATCGCATGCGTGTTTCTTGCTATGTTCTGTGTGAGCTTCTCTGTAAAACGTTGATAGCTGTGACTCATGTTTTGAGAGTGAGGAGTGCTTTTATTTATTTAGAACTACTGCCTTTTTAATTCTTGATTTAAATGTATCCTTAGATTTAATTTGAAAAAATTATTTTGGATTTCATTTATTTTATTTTATTTTTCTTACTTGATTTTATTTTATGATATCAATGGTTCACATTTTTATGAATGAGAATTAATTTGATTTATTTATGCATTTATTTATATGCTTATTTATACTTAATACCTTGAAATGTTAAAGGCTGCTGCCAATTTGATTTCATGAAACTTTGCTTATGATTTAATAATATTTGGAGCTTTCAGAAAATGTTAACATTTAACTTTTAATTTAATTTAATCTAATCAATGGCTCACATTTTTATATTTTTTTATTTTATTTATCTTGATATCATATAATTTTATTTATGTATTTATTTAAATATGTTATAAGCTTATTTTGATTGATTCATTAATTCTGTGATTTTATAGAAATCTATTTGGAGCTTCAGAAAATGTTAACATTTTATCTATTCTATTCTATTCTATTCTATTCTATTCTATTCTTGATATCAGTGGCCCAAGTTTTTGAGAGTAAGAAATAATTTTATTTCATTTACTTTTTCACTCCATTTAAATTTTAAAGGCTGATGCCATTTTGATTCTTTATTTTGATTGATAATTTGATTGGGATTTCAAGGCAATCAATTTGGAGATTTAAGATGATTTCAACGTTTTCATTTTATTTTTAGGGTTATCGATTAAAAAAATGCAACTAATTAGTTTCCGTGACTAATCACACATTAAAACTTAATCGTAAAATGTAAATATTAAACCCCCAAATTAATGTATAAAAAAAAAAAAATAGTATTTATTAAATAATATATAACAACATGTTTTTATCAAGTACTGTCATAGTGGGTATTGTGATTCTACAGTGAGGCTTTCATAATTGTTATTACTGTTCTTATTCGTCTTTTTCACTCTTTCATGCTGTGTTTCCCTTCCAGCTATCTGGAGTTTCCTAGCGTCTTCATAAGAGTGTTGTTTTCTGCTACGTGCTTCATCAATAATTCTGTGCGGTAGAATCAGATCTCCAGAGACACAAAGTGGGCGCTGAGGGACGCTGAAACCCTTTTTGCTCATCATATTCGTCCGCACTGCTCTCTGGTGTCCTCTTTTTTTCCCTCCTCATCTGTTGTTATTTATCATGTGTGCCGTATGGTCCTTCTTCCCGTGCAGGACACCGCTGAACAGCTGATCTGCCGTTAGCTGCGTAAATTTCCCTCACGGTGAGCAGCTCCCAGAGCCCAGCTGAATTAATCACAGCCACACGGGCGCGCGGGGGGGCAGCCTGAGGATGAGGACGGAGAGAAGGGTAGAAGAAACCGTGCTACGAGAAGAGATCAGAGCTGGAACATCCATGGAGTGGAAGGGTAAGAAAGTTCGCAGAGACGCTGCTCACAGTCAGATCATCTGGGATGTGAGACTAATAGAGCTGGAAGAGGTTGGGTTTCAGGTCCATGTATCAATTCTGATTTCTTTACAATTCTATTAACGCTTCTTTTGAGGAAACACCAGCTGGCAAATAAATTGCCCTAACTATAAACTAAACAAGAGCAATTTGGTAGCACTTCACAATAAGGTATTTATTTTATTTATTTATATATTTATTTTTTTGTTTATTACTCATTAGAATTAGTCAATGCAATGTACATTTTTTACAGCATTTATTATTCATATGACATTAATTTCTGCGTATTCATTTTTATCATTTCAGGTTTTGTAAAATAAACTTTAGTTATTTAATATTACCACCCATTCATAGACAATAGTATGTTTGTAAAATGAAAAAGTAAAAAAAATAAATTGCACATGATGCCTTATGCATGAACTTGTGTTAACTTTACTGTAAAACTTTACTATTTTTGATACACAATTAACTTTTTAATAACATTTTTTAAAACTTAAAAAAATTTGGGGCTTGTAAAATCTTTCATTTTTATTGATTTTTTTAAAAAAGTAGTCTTACTCACCAAAGCTGCATTTGTTTGATCAAAGATGCAGTAAAAACAGTAATATTGTCAAATATTATTACAATTTAAAATAGTTGTTTTCTATTTGAATTGAAATACATTTTCAAATTACATTTTAATTAATTTTATTATAAATTAATTAATTCCTGTGATTGCAAAACTGAATTTTCAGTAGTCATTACTCCAGTCTTCAGAAAAGCATTTATTTAAAATATAAATAATTTTTAACATTGTAAATGTGTTTACAGTGACTTTTCATCAATTTAATGCCTCCTATCGTAGAAGTATCATTATTATTATCATTATTTATTTATTTTTTAATTCTTACGGACCTCAAAGTTTTAGAAGGTAGTGTACGATACAACACGAAAAATTAAGCAACTGCGATTTGACATGCGACTAATGTTTTGTTAGTCGCTTGGTTTCAATTTCTGTGTTATGTTGCTGAGTAGCCCCACCCAGAGAAACCTCATTGGTCCAAACATTTACATATCTTCTGATTGGCTGTTATTATGTAATGCCGTGCAGCATTTTTATGACTTTGCAGTTCTGCTCTGACAAATTCAGTGTGACTCGTACCATCAATTAATGAGTTGTATTTATTTATTTATTTATTTTAAATGATTCAGTAAAAATAACCTGCCCAGAAGACTTATCTGTTAAGAATGAAACTATATTGGTTGTAATGTTTATTTAAAGTGAGTATGGATGCATCAGAATGCATTAGTATTCATTAGAAAGATGTGTTATCTATCTATTGTCTAGTATTATTTCACAGCACCCAGTCTTTTCCTCTCACTACATTCAGTTTGATTTGTTCCTGTAGCACCAAAAGTACAGCATGCTGCTAACCCAAGGTCATAGGTTTGATTCCCAAGGAATGCATGCACTGATACAAATGTCTATATTGAATGCAGTGCAAGTCACTTTGAATAAAAGCATCTGTCAAATGCGTGAATGTAAATTCAGAATGCAAGCTCGCAACTCAGATGAAACATACTGATTAATGCTGGACACTGGTAGTGAGGAAAACAAACAGAGATTTGAACTCTGGGAAAGGGAAATTTGTTGGAGGGTGTCTCCTGTGCTTAATATGCTTATAGAGTTCACAAACACAGACTCATATTTAGAGATTATTACTAGCACACCAACTGCTCTCAAGATATTTTCAATGTGCTGTAATATATGAGACACCCTCCCTTCAGAAAATATGTATCACAGGTTCACAAGTTCATAATCCTAGAGAATGACAGAGGTAAGCAGATTTGGTTTGCTTTCAGCAGTGGGAAGGCTTTACCGTGAGATTGACTTGACATTGTAAATTCCTCTCTGGTCTACTTTAACTTAATTAGTAGAAATGTAGGTGAAATTAAGGTGGTAGTAGATTGTATGAATTATTACAGGAGTGAGGTAAGATATACTACTCTTAAAAAGACTTTTATTCTCATCAAGGTTACGTTTATTTGATTTAAAAAATACAGTAATACTGTAATATTGTGAAATATTATTGTAACTTGAAATAGCTGTTTTCTATTTAAATATATTTTAAAATGTAATTTATTCGTGTAATGCAAAGCTGAATTTTCAGCATCATTACTCCATCAGAAATCATTGTAATACTGATTTGATGAATATTAATATCAATGTAGAAAACGGTTGTGCTGCCTGATATTTTTATGGAAATCATGACACTTTTTTATTTCAGGATTCTGGCATTTTCCCCACCACATTAAAAAAAACAAAAAAAAAACAAAACCCACTAAGCTCTACAGTAGTAGAAACTTCAGACCTGTCTCTCCCCTCCGGTTCTTGGTAAAAACACTCGAGGGAGTGGTTTTCAATCATGTGACTTTATTTTTATGGAAATTATGACACTTTTTTATTTCAGGATTCTGGCATTTTCCCCACCACATTAAAAAAAACAAAAAAAAACAAAACCCACTAAGCTCTACAGTAGTAGAAACTTCAGACCTGTCTCTCCCCTCCGGTTCTTGGTAAA